TAAAACCCACCACTCCGTATATATTTATTTTATTTCTTACCAGTTTCTGTTTAATTTCTATTGATTACATTATTTATTTGATTAATTTTGTATGGTTTTAGTTATTTTTCTCATTTTCATTATTTTTTATATCTATTTTTTTTCTAAGGTAAGAATAATCTTTAAAAAAGAAAAAGAAATGGAGGTTGAAAGTAATTCAAAAAATTTAAATAAAAATTTCAAAAAAATTAAAAAACAAAAATTCATCAAAAATAATCACAACTTTCATTTTGTTGCCTAAAACAGGCATTTCCGTTAACCCTCCGTTAGAAACTCAACGGCGACCCAAAATTGGCAAATTTCAATAAATTTGGGATTATTATGCATCACAGTGAAAGGTGAGATTATTTTTGAAAGACCAGGTAAAGTTAGAATTATTTTAGGTAATTTTTCCTAAAATAAATGAATTTAATAAAATTTTAGGACGGGAAGAGTATTTCTTAGTGCTCCAGAATTATCCTAAAAAGATTAAGTTGCCTCTAATAAAAAAAAGTTTTTCCCAAATAAAAAGAAATTTGAAAATTAAAAATGGGAAGTGTGAGATTTTAAAATTAAAATAATAGAATCTAAAAAGAGAATATTTGAAATTAATCTTATATTGAAAATAAAGTTTTGGGTCACTTTAATATGGATTGGTCATCATCAGGAAGAGCAAAAGCTTGCCGAAGCTGCCGGCGATCCCAAAGCCAAAAGACCTATTGGCGACGATCGGAAACAAAGCAAACAATCTCCGGAGGAAAAAGAAAAACAAAGCGGCGGATCCCGACGAGGCGGCGGCGGATTTCGGCGACGGCGGGCTGTGGCAGCGGGCGATTCTGATGGGCGACAAATGCCAGCCGTTGGACTTCGCCGGCGTCATTTACTACGACAGCAAGGGGCGGCGCGTGTCGGAGCCTCCGTCAAGGTCGCCGCGTCGCTTCCCGGGGAAACTGCACGATTCTGGCTCATCCGGGGAACTCTAGATTTCGCTTTTTTGGTGTCTGCGCCGCCATCCGCCGCCGGTCATTTCCCGTCGCCGGCCAAGATGAGTTTTATGGTCATTTAATTAAAAAATTTCAAGTATATACGGAGTATTATATACTGTTTTTACAGTATTTTGGACGGAGTATCGCTGCTCTATGTCCAACTATTTTTATTCTCTTTTTTTTTCATTTATTCTTTTTTTTTTCATTTTGGTCTGTTCCAAAATGTTTGTAACGCAATATAATATTTTTGGTGCATAATTAAATAAAATATTAAAAAGTGCACAAGTAAAAAAATTAAAGCACATAACCAAAGGCGTGGTGTTACCCCTTTGGGTGTGATAGCCTTACCGGCGTGGTGGCCTGCTCTCACTTTTATTTATTTTTTTTATTTTTTATTGTCAACAAATCAAAATTAATACGGAGTATATATATTTATCCCAACCAATCAAAATTATTCACATCTTCACCCCATCATTTTTCGATCACACCCTCTGGCCTTTCAAGTCTCATAATATTTTTTTTTTTACTCAGACCTAACCACTTGCAGGGTACTTCATGTTTTATGTGGGCATCATTTATGTCTATTTTGGGTCATTTAAATATGACTTTTTTTGAATTCTCTCTAAATTTTAAAGATTATATTATTGTCCCTGAACATTTAAAAAACCTAATTATATCTCTACGTCAGATTTGAGCTTAGATTAATCATGCGCTCGTCCATTACAAGTATGGATCCTCTAAAATCATATATATCACGTGAGTTTTAGAATATAATTTGCCCTCTCTAAACATTATATTTTAGATAATTATTTTTTAACTGAATTTGAAATTCGAGCATCATTCGATCAAGCTCTTCACCAATTAAATTAACTTCTTCCTCAATTCATGACATCTTCATCAGATTTCAAAAGGCAAATTGATGAGTGTGTGATTATTAATACATCTTGAATATGGTCCAAATGGACCACTAATGTAATCATTAGTGTGATTTTTAGAATTTAGTTGGAATCCACATAATTTTTAAAAAGTTCAAAAGTAAATGACACAAGATGTAATCACTGGTGTTATTTTTTAAATTTTAGTGGGAATCCCTACAATTTTTTAAAAATTCGATGGTAAATGCCCTACAAAAAGGCACTATATTTTAGTTCTATTTAAAGAAATTCCCCTAAAACTAAACATTATACTACTTTCATCCAAGTGTATTTGTTCAGTTTGACTTTGGATAAACTTTGAACTCTAATTAATCTCAATTTATATTGCATATTAATATAATGAAATACAATTTTGAAAGTTTTCAATATGATAAATTTAATAAATTCGTTTTTATGTTAAAATACATGATTTTTATTTAATTGAAGCTTAAAGTTTGTCCAGTTTGATTTGATACTTATAATTTTTTTCAAAAAGATAAATCTAAATGCCCAAACGATTATCAAAGAAGCAATCTATATCAGAACAAATTAATACATTGGCATTGAAAATTAAAAGGTGATCATATTATAAAACAACTAATCAATTCAGAAATAGAGAAAAAAAACAAAGGCGGGATCCGGCCGGGGACGGACTCCCGATTCACGCGCTAGGAGCCGCGTCTTTCGCCTTACCGTGAAGGTACCCGCCGGCGTAGTCCTTGACGTGGTTCGCGGTATCCACAAGCCGACTCCGGGCGTAGTCGAACCGGTCCGAGCCGGGCGGGTGGAGCCCGCGCAGGTAACGGTAGAGCCAAGAGGCCATAACGGCGGCGGCGATGCCGAACCCGCAAGCCGAGAGAAATCCGGCAACGGCGACGACGAGGACCGCCCCGACCGGGACCCACACGGGGCTCGAGATTATAATCAACGGCGCGAAGATGATCAACCCGAGGACGGTGGCGGTGAGGGTGAGGCCGGTGAGGAGGAGGAGAATCCCGCCGGACACGACCAGCGTCAGGATCCCCACGAGCTGCGTCGAGTTCGGCGCGTTCTCTTGAAATCTACGGAGGATGGTGGTGGCGGCCGGGCCGCCGCCGCCGCGGGCCGGCGATCTATGGGATTGTTGCATTTCGGCCATGATGTTATTGTTTGGATTTTATTTTATTTATTTATTTTGAAATGGAATTTAATTAATTAATGGGAATGAGTAGGGGAATGTGTTTATTTCACTATTGTTATGGTAGTAGAAAAGAATGGGAGTGATGACACGTGTGGGATGCATGGAGTGCCGCGTAAGCATGCAAGAGTACACGTGGGAGGGACTTGTGAAGGTTGGACTTATTCTTTTTCATTTTTTTTTGAAACAGAAAAAAAAAAAGTTAGCGGTGGGAAAGTTTATAAGGTGAGGAAAATTAAGCATTTAGTTTTTGGGTTATGTCTATAATTTACCCTCTTACAAATTTGTTTTTTTGAATTCGAATTCTTTTGAGTAATCAAAAAAATAAAAATTTGAATGCACAAATGACAAGTTTGTAAAATTTGTGTTCAAGTTTTTTGTGACTCTAGCATTACTCATTGAATTAAAGTTTATTTCTAAAAAAATGCTAGTAGTAGTTAAGATTAATATTTATCACGATATTTGTGATGACCGAAATTGTGTTAGAGCAAGATTTAAAATCTTCACTCCGTCCTAAAATTAGCTTTTCATTTGACTTTTCACGGTCTCTAATACGACACTTTGGCCATTAATATCTCAATTTTTATATAAATATATTTTATAAAAATTATATATTTCAAAACTATGTTTCAAAATGAATCTATTGCTAATAAATTTATATGAAAATTCAATGTATTTTTTCCGTAATATACGGTCAAAGTTTAAAAGTTTGACTACAAAAGTCAAACTGGGAAGTTAATTTTAGGGCGGGGGGAGTACCTCTTTGTTCATAAAATGGTTCCTATTTTGACTTTTGGGAAAAATAAGAAATCTATATTTGTGGTTGAATTTAAAATTTTATTCTTAATGTAATGCGTAAAGCAAGACATAGAGTATAAGATATGAGAACGTAAAAGTGAAAGTTAACCTTGCTTCCATTATTTTATATGGAGAGGCAAACTTGTTGGTATATGAGTAAACTTGCTTCCATTATTTTTAATTCGAGTTCTAAAATGAAAATACAAAATTTTAAACAAGGGTCCTATTAACAAAACTTGAAATCCGAAATTACCTACTAAAACTTGATCATATTCAATAGAACTCGTATCAAACTTGATACACAAAAATTTAGACCGGAACTTCTTATCTCTAGATCATGCCTAATCCTCTCTCTCAGCAATCAAAATTTGAGACATAACCACCTCAAAGAAGTGAATATGCTCCCTATTCTACCCTTAAAATAAGAGTAAATTTCATTATTGGTCCTTTATAATAGGAGAATTTTCATATTTAGTCATCTATTATCAAATATTACTCCCATAGTATGTCTTCTATGAGTGCTGTTAGACAATGCGTGCAACTCTAGAGGGGGTGAATAGAGTTGTTGAGAATGATTACCGATTTTCGCAGGATTAATAATATAATCGTAAGTGCAGCGGAAATAAAAGAGAGAAGGCAAAGAATACACCGATGTATACTGGTTCACCACCTCGTGGCTAGTCCAGTTCCCCGAGAGACTCTCTCAAAGCTACCACTACTTCCGTTAAGCTTACGAGTGCTTAACAAACCGTTTACAACTCGAGAACTTGAATCCCACAAGCCTCGACACAACCGCTCGTAGATATGCCCTCTACAAGACTTCACAACCAAGACTTAAGTCACATAAGTCTTGAACAACAAGAAGAAAAATCTTCTTCAACCTCTCAACAATAGCTCTCAAAAGAGTCGAAATGAGAAATGATTAAAGCTCTATGAATGACAAGAAACCTCTCTTGAAAACACTTAGTTTTCTCTCAAAATATATCAATTTGAGGAAGAATTGAATGAAGGATTATAACCTCAAGAATGGGGAGTATTGGAGTGTTTCTTGTTATTAAAAATGACCAAGGAAGAGTGTTTAAATAGGAGGTGAAGAAATATATCCGTTGGTCCAAGAAAAGAAGCTGTGCAGAAAAGATGCAGCAAAATAATCGATTAATGCATCATAAAAAAATCGATTAAAGCAGCTTCAAAAATCGATTAAATTTGCCAGAGCCAAATTCCTTCTGCGCAGAAAAGTGATAATCAATTAAAGCCAAAGGTGTTAATTGATTAGTTCCTTCTGGACGCGATAATCGATTAATCCAGAGGTAAAATCGATTATTGCAACAATAATGCCCAAACAAGAAGAACACAAGCATGTGGGCGAGGTGAAGGACAAAATTGGAGCTTGTAGGTTGTTTCCAACAAAAAATCCAGGGGTAAGGCTCTCCATCAACTCAAACATTATTCAAAATAAATTTTGAATAAATGAAAGATATTTGGAGTGTAGAAATTGAGTCCCAAAATTATTTTGTGTGTCAAACGATGAACACGAAAATATTTGAATAAAATATTTTTGCTTTCCAAAAATATTTTCTAATATCAAAATAAATGTTTTGATAAATGTTTGACACACTTTTTGTAACTGACTCAATAAATGTATTTTGAACAGTTAAAAGGATTTTTCAACTGACTCCAAAAATAAATATAATTTTTATTTTAACTCTCATAAAAATAAATTTTGGATAGAAGATATTTTTGTCATCCTTACAATAATTTCTAAGACTCAAATAAATAAAAAGTCTTCGGAAATCTTCTATTCCTCTGAGTCCTGCGTTAGGCGCTCCGAACGCGTCTCGGACTCTAATAAAATCATGTGCACCTTCTTGAATACTTCAAGGAATGACACTTCAAGTCTTCGTGTTTGTCGTTGTAGCACTTTGATCTTGACTTAAATAAATTGTGTTTGTGAATTATCAAAACCTGTGAGTCAACACTTAACAACACAGAAAGAGTTGAACTCATGCATTCCAACAAGTGCCTTTCCACAAAAAGTCCTTTTTTAATCCTATGCCATGTTGGTGTTAATTTAAAAGCTAAAAGTATAATTTGACATCAACCTTATGTCTAGTGACATATTCTGATATTGGTTAGACGAATAACATAAAAATAATGACTAGGATTGTGTGCTAGAATTCTGGCGAAAGACTAATCTGTAGACTACGGTTGTAGTAGAAAGTGACTGTTATTCACCAATTTAAATTGTGTATTACAAGAAAGATATATTATTATTGTAAAAATTACACTTTAAGCCCTCAAATTAACACCAACATGATAAAAAATAAAAAAGGACTATTTGTGGAAAGAGTTCATTAAAAGGATCATTAGGATAATATTTGATAATAGAGGACTAAATAAGAAAACTTCTTTATTATAAATGACCAATTATAGAATTTATTCTAAATAACATAAATAATGTATCAAATTTTAATTAGTGGAAGAGGGAGTCAAGAGTCAAGACACCATTTCAAAGCCCCACAAACTCACCCAATTGGCATGGGTTTATCAATTTTGTCATACGACCTAAGAGCACTGTATTAGAAGTAATAGGGTTTAACCCCCCCAAACTGCACCAAACCATCTCGCAGTTCATCTCCAATGGCGTCCACACTCTCCAGAAGGCTACTCCGCGCCCTCATTGCTGGCCCGAGACCGCCGTGCCGTCTCACGCGCCACCCTTCAACGCCCTATTCGCTATGCTCGAAAAGCTTCTCCTCTGAGAGCGAAGATGAATTGAGTGCTCTCGAATCGGACATGTCCGGTTCGGAATCCGAATCCGAGGCCAAATCAGATCCTTTCCCTTCAAATCCACCCCCCGAATCCAACCGGCAGGGCAGTGCGGGTGAACGGCCCCTTGAAAATGGCATGGATCATGGCATTTACAAGGTACTTTTGTATTTTAGGTAGTGCACTTTTTATTTTTTTTATAATTTCTCTAAGGGCTTGTATATTGATTATTGGAAACGCATCACATTAGATACTTTATTGTATAATTTTATGTAAAGAATTCGTTAGCTCCGATATGCTTAACCTAGGGAGATCTCGAATATATGGGGGTAATCATGTAAGTCTTCCGTCCTAGAGTATTCGTCTAATTTGACATTTTGATGACAAACATATGACTTATATGAGTTATATCTACGAAATGGACACACCTATATAACTTTGCACTAGATATGCATCCTACCACAATCTCCTATTAGGGCATGTTTGGAAGGGGGTGGGGGTGGGATTGATTCTCCCCTCACTTTGAGTGTTTTCTTAATGTAGGAGCTAAAGTTTTTTCTTTGCTCCATTGCCTCCAGCCTACTCAACCATTAACATTAGGATGGGAGGGGAGGGGGTGGAGCAGTGAAAAATTTTGGGTCACACATTTAAATAATGTTTAAACCAAATGAGGGAAGGGAATCAGTTTCTCTCTCCTTGCCTCCCGTCCAACCAAGCACACCCTTAAGGTACAGAGGTTCTCAGGTTCATATACCTATCAATAGACTTGTTGAATTTTCTTCATAAAAATGTATCATTAATTAAGAGTCCCCTTAGATGACTCTATAAATAATGAGAAAACAAACTTTTGCCCCTTCTACTATTGCACGGGTTTCAGTTAATATTTTTAACTCAACTTTTTTATACTTGGTGTGAATGAGTAGTTTTCTGTATTAGTGTGTCTTTAGACAATGTAGTCAGGATAATGATATCATATTCAAAACTGGAACAGGCAATATTGGTAGGTCAGGTAGGACAAGCTGCTATACAGAAGAAACTGAAGAGCGGGATTAAAGTGACTCTTCTTTCTGTCGGGACAGGTGGGATTCAGAACAACAGGAGGCCATTTGATAATGAGCATCCTAAAGAGTATGCTGATCGGTGTGCTATCCAGTGGCATAGGGTATCCATTTATCCCCAGAGGTTGGGGGACCTCGCTGCAAAGAATGCTGTTCCTGGGTATGTGTTCATTTCTCATGGTTGTTTGGACTGTAAAACTTTTACCTTGTTCAGTAACCTTTGATTTTTGGGCTAAAAAATTTGGTTCATTTCTTGAAAGGATGAATTTACTTGGCTGGTATCCAAGAAGAAGCAGGGAGTTATTTAGCATAGCATTCCAAAACTACTGTTTTTTTTGCAGTGGAAACTCTTCATCATGCCATGTCTGATATTTCTTCTCATTGTGCAATGTGTTGGTTAAAATGTATAGCATTCAACCTGTGGTTATGTACTAATGCATGATATTTATGTTTATTGAGTGTTACATTTAATACTTATACAGAGTAGTATATAACATGGTTTTATTGTTGTGTCCATTGTGGTATGGAGTAACCTCCATCTTATAAGATTCATTTTCTTTTAAAAGAAACAGAATTGTGTATTGCAAAAGAAAAAGAGACATGTTTTTATTTTAAAAAGAGTCATGTTTTGCAAAGCTAGAACTGTTACATTTTAGTACAGTGCAAGCATTTAAAATATTCAAATATAGCTACATTTTCAAATTAATTTGTTGTTTATCTAAATTTAAAACACTTAACTTATTTAGGACGCACTTTAGTGAAAACCATTAAGTATGATGAAAGTTAGCTTATTTTGTTCAAATATGACTCTCTTTTGGGACAATTAAGTTTTCAAACAAGACTCTTTTTTTTGTGTCGAGGTATTTTTATTAAAAATAGTCCTCGCCCTACCTGAAACAGCTTTGTCATGTCTGCTCCTGAGTTTTGGCATGCTGGTATCTATTCTCATTTTGTTGATTGTTGTTCTCCTGAAACTAGTCCATAATCTTCACATTTGCTTATTGCATTGTGCCTTGTAGCTCAATCCTGTACATAGAGGGTAATCTTGAGTCCAAAGTTTTCAGTGATCCAATTACAGGCCTTGTTAGGCGCATACGCGAGGTTGCTGTACGCCAAAATGGTAAGTTTTTCACTACCTTTACAAGTAATAATTTTGATTTTTCATTAGAGAAATTCTCACTCTGCATCCCCCAAGTATAGCGCGAGATTGCTGTATGCCAAAATGTTAAGTTCTTCACTACCTTTATCAGTAATAATTTTGATATTTCATTAGAGAAAATGTCACTCTGGATCCCCCAACTATAGCTAATAAAGTCTTTCACTTTTCATCCTTTTTTATGGTTTCAGTTTCCTAAATGTTAAATTTTGGGATACAAGTATGATGAATCAATGGCACATCTAATGCTATTGGGTTGAAATCAGAAATCCTAACAAAAATTAAAAGGAAAAAGCTTGGTGTACACCACTTGCACACCAAGTGTGTTACAGACACAAAAACGACAATTGTCTGTGCACGCTTGTTGTGCAAGTGGTGTACCCCTAGGACAACCCAAATTAAAAACCTTGCTGATAGCCGGAGTTCCAAAACTGGCCGGTTTTTGTAGAAAACATCTTTTTAATAATCAAGGATCAAAAGTGGATTGTCTTTCTTTTTCATCGTGCCAGTAGTTTCATGAACTTCATCACACACACTGTGCAGGTCGGCTTGTTTTTCTTGGCAAGTTAGATGACGCCGAGGGATCATCAAGAAAAGAAATAAAATCTGTTGGCTACTACTGATGTTGGATTTACCAAGAATGTGGGTAAACAAAGACTAGATTTGCCTCATTTAACTTTCGGTAATTATTTATCACGTTGGTTGATATTTAGAGACCTGTTAAGCATTCATGTTTGCAGGAATCAATTCTACATCACTCCAGATTGTATTTGGCATCTGATGCGTATTTGACTGCGGGGAGTTGGGTAATACATCATGAACTTTCTGGGTCTTAATTATCAATGCATATTCAATTTCCATATTTGTATGAATGGATAAATTACAAGTCTGGAGGAAACTGTTTAGATTTCTTAACAGTTTTTTTAAAGCTTGGAAGTTGGAACCAATTTGGTTCATTTTTTTTTATATGGCTTTCGAGTAAAATAATGATGTTTAGAAGACATTTGGTTTGGTATCATAGATGATTTTTGGGTGTTTGGTTAGTGATAAAAATTACTTCCTCTATTCACATTTAAGTGACTATTATGACTTTTGTGATCAATAAAAAAAGAGTAAATTCCTAAAATAGTCTTTTGTAATAAGGTGTTTTTCCAAATCAGTTCTCAATAAGATTTAATTACCTATGTAGCCCTTTATAATTGAGATTTATTCTCAGGATGGTCCTTTGTAAATAATGTTACTCAAATGAGGATTAATTGAGAGTATTTTGGTATTTTTTATCCGTTAAATTTAGAATTAATTCTTAAAATCATTATTAACTAGTTAAATTTTAGAATTTCTTAATCAATTCTTTAGTGTTAAACTTGGTGGACTTTTAACACTTGTATTTATTTTATGACAAGACATTTATCGGATGGCATGCTAGTGTCAAGGTAGCTATGCCACATACTTACTAAGGTTGACATCACTAGGGTCCAACAGACTAAACTTTTTACCATCAATCACTCTATGTACGAAAAATAGCATATGATGTCAACTTTACCACTCTCTCCGTCTATATTTCGATTACAAAATGGGAATTACGAAGTAAAATTTTATAACTTTTGAAATCATTTTATTTACAAATTGATACATTAATATAAACTAAAAAATACATATTAAAAAACTGCATCAAAAGTTTTACAAAATAAGATGTGACTAGAGTATTTTAATTTATCAAATAATTAATAAAAACATAAATAAACAAAAGTTATCGAGATGAGAAAGAATAAAATTATAATCAAAATCGGGACGGAGGGAGTATTAGATTTGGTAGATTTCTAATTTCATTGTTTATTTTATGATAAGACACTTATCGTGTCATGCTAGTGTCAGGGTAGCCATGTTACATACCGATAAATTTAAAAATAAAATTTACGTACATAAAAAATTCTACAGTACAAAACAAGAATTGACATGACTATCTTTTATCAGGTGAGTAACAAATACGAATAAAGAAAATGATGGATACCCAATATTTTCCCAAGGACTGTAGATCGGCCTAGGGCCAAATATAGGTATCCGGGCCTTATAATATTGAAAGATAATACGAGAATAATAATTAATAGTAATAGAAGCACTGCTCACTAGATAATAACTCAAATCGGCGGTCCTCTCCTTTATTCGGTCCTCTCAGGAACGGAATATGCTTGAGGATCGCCAGAATATCTTTTATTATTTACTCACGTATTTTCTCTCCTCATTACAAGATATCCTCCATTCCCCAAGTCCCTCTTTCTTTTATAGGCACTCCCCATCCATTATCCTCTTCAATAATGGCAGTGA